TGTCCCATCATCCGCTGTCCCCGGCCAGTATAATTTTCATTCGGGCCAGTAGCTTTCAATTGGCACTGGCCCGGTGTGCCACTAGCAAATGTACCTGAATGTCAAGCCCTGCAAGGGCATTCTAATTTAAAAGATGGCTAGTCATTATTAGCCTGGTTCTGTATTATGGGACACAGCTCAGGTCATTATCGGTACGCAGTGGCGAAAAATTTGTGCGACCAAATCATGTGCAAGTGCCCTACTGAGAGCGAGCAGCGAGTAGTTGTCCAGGCTCACGGCATGTCGTACAACCTCAAACACGTCCTGCTGGGTTTCTATTCCACTGTTGATGTTGTAGCAAGTTCAGATGGATTGTCATCACCTAGCAAGCATGATGTGGACACCTCAGGCTTCTATCTGTCTGTATTGAATACTGGGGGGAATGATGGTCTAACACCAGTGCCAGTCTAACACCAGTGCCAGTCTAACACCAGTGCCAGTCTAACACCAGTGCCAGTCTAACACCAGTGCCAGTCTAACACCAGTGCCAGTCTAACACCAGTGCCAGTCTAACACCAGTGCCAGTCTAACACCAGTGCCAGTCTAACACCAGTGCCAGTCTAACACCAGTGCCAGTCTAACACCAGTGCCAGTCTAACACCAGTGCCAGTCTAACACCAGTGCCAGTCTAACACCAGTGCCAGTCTAACACCAGTGCCAGTCTAACACCAGTGCCAGTCTAACACCATTGCCATTTCTGTCATTGTGAAAATGGATGGTCAGATTGTCTCCAGTTTCTGTCAGTCTGTCATATAAGAAGGTTTTATAATTTGTGTCTCTCCCTCTGGGACTGTAGATGGAGGAAGGGACAGACAGGTTATTTTACCTCTGTTTGGTAACATGATCTGTAGGGGGGAGGGTGTGCTGTGTTTTGGGCTATTTACATGGATATGGCTCAGTGCTACCGATGCTGTATGGTAATGATAGAGGTCATCAGAAAATGTGCAATACAATGTCCCGCTGCAGAGCAGAGCGGGGTACTAGGGCCCTATAACATTTGCGGATGGAATCACGGAATCGAGACACACAGCCATAGCCCAGGGGCTCTCCTCATCCAATCGCCAGCTCAAGCTGAATTATCCACACCATTTACCTCTTAGTCTGGTTCATAGTGCACTACTTTAGACCAGAGAATGGCACCCTATTCCCTATATAGTGCACTACTTTAGACCAGAGAATGGCACCCTATTCCCTATATAGTGCACTACTTTAGACCAGAGAATGGCACCCTATTCCCTATATAGTGCACTACTTTAGACCAGAGAATGGCACCCTATTCCCTATATAGTGCACTACTTTAGACCAGAGAATGGCACCCTATTCCCTATGTAGTGCACTACTTTAGACCAGAGAATGGCACCCTATTCCCTATATAGTGCACTACTTTAGACCAGAGAATGGCACCCTATTCCCTATATAGTGCACTACTTTTGACCAGAGAATGGCACCCTATTCCCTATGTAGTGCACTACTTTAGACCAGAGAATGGCACCCTATTCCCTATATAGTGCACTACTTTAGACCAGAGAATGGCACCCTATTCCTTATATAGTGCACTACTCTAGACCAGAGAATGGCACCCTATTCCCTATATAGTGCACTACTTTAGACCAGAGAATGGCACCCTATTCCCTATATAGTGCACTACTCTAGACCAGAGAATGGCACCTTATTCCCTATATAGTGCACTACTTTAGACCAGAGAATGGCACCCTATTCCCTATATAGTGCACTAAATAGGGAATAGGGTGCCATTTGGGATGCCAATTGTGTCAAACAGGTAGGGGTAAGGGATCAGCTGAAAATGGGGCCCATCATTGTTGGCTACGGTTATGAGACAGGCTCACTGCATGGTACACTGCATTCTACATGAAATACGCTGTGTAACTGTACCTGTCCACCATTTAGTGTTTAGTGTGGTTCAGTGCCACCGTGTCAGGTAGGGACAGAGGCGAGGTATCAGTGGCCCAGGGAGGGGTTGCAGAGGTGGGGGGCAGTGGCAGGAAGGGTTATGGGGGTAGTAGCAGGGTGTTGTGTCATCATGGTCTATGGGGATGCTGCACTATCTCCATTCTACATGAAATGTGAGAGTACATGGTCCCTTGTTCCATCTAGAAATTCTCTAGAAATTCTCTTGAAAAGGTGTGAGTGTGTGTATTAGGTGTGTGTGTGTGTGTGTGTGTGTATTAGGTGTGTGTGTGTTACCTTGGTTTTATTAAACCGTCAAATGTCTTCTTATGAGTTGTAGGCCTAGGTCTTTTGCAAGGTTAAGTGAAGTAGAATCATGCTTTCATCGTCTGTCTCCAGGAATTAATTCAATTACTAGGGATGTAACATTGAGATACGAGCGCATCGGTCCGCGGGACCCCAAACCGATCCAAATGTAGCATGCATCGATTAGAACATCGATTCAATCGTTACGAATCCTCTGTTCACTAAAATGTTTTGCTCATATTACTTTTTACTTTCCGAAACTACCTCATCTTTTTGGACAACTGATGTGTCCTCTCCTTCAGTGTCGAATCTAAGCATGTAACTGCGTTGACAGTCATTGATCTACAAGTAATTTTGCATGCCGTACAACTCCAGGCAACATCAGTAGCCTAGTCAAACTGCGCAGTGTGTGCTGCTTCTCACGCTGACCAACGAGAGGTACTGTAGGTACTATCTGTGCAGCACGTTCAGCATTCAAATGTTAGTAAAAAGTGGATGGCCAATCTACTGTAAAGTGACTTAACTAAGGCATTCACTTTTTAGTACTCGTCCTAGCATACAGTACTCGTCCTCTAGCATACAGTACTCGTCCTAGCATACAGAAGAGAAGTAAGGCTTTTGCTGACTGCAAGAAGTTGGAATCTGGTGAAAAAGCCTATTGTTTTTAATAATTTGACCATCTGTATGAGATGTGGTCTGACCCCGTGAGGAGTACACAGTAGCACACATCCTCCTCTAGCATACAGAAGAGAAGACATGCCTTTGCTATTTAATAGAAGGGTTGATGCTGACAGGTGCTATTTAATAGAAGGGTTGATGCTGACAGGTGCTATTTAATAGAAGGGTTGATGCTGACAGGTGCTATTTAATAGAAGGGTTGATGCTGACAGGTGCTATTTAATAGAAGGGTTGATGCCGGGCTATTTAATAGAAGGGTTGATGCTGACAGGTGCTATTTAATAGAAGGGTTGATGCTGACAGGTGCTATTTAATAGAAGGGTTGATGCTGACAGGTGCTATTTAATAGAAGGGTTGATGCTGACAGGTGCTATTTAATAGAAGGGTTGATGCTGACAGGTGCTATTTAATAGAAGGGTTGATGCTGACAGGTGCTATTTAATAGAAGGGTTGATGCTGACAGGTGCTATTTAATAGAAGGGTTGATGCTGACAGGTGCTATTTAATAGAAGGGTTGATGCTGACAGGTGCTATTTAATAGAAGGGTTGATGCTGACAGGTGCTATTTAATAGAAGGGTTGATGCTGACAGGTGCTATTTAATAGAAGGGTTGATGCTGACAGGTGCTATTTAATAGAAGGGTTGATGCTGACAGGTGCTATTTAATAGAAGGGTTGATGCTGACAGGTGCTATTTAATAGAAGGGTTGATGCTGACAGGTGCTATTTAATAGAAGGGTTGATGCTGACAGGTGCTATTTAATAGAAGGGTTGATGCTGACAGGTGCTATTTAATAGTGATGGGGGAAAAATCCATACAGTTACATATCAGGATATTATTTTGGACGATATATCGTATCATATTGTTTTTGTCAATATCGCAATATTATTTTTGCGCTAGTTGGTTGTACCTGCACCAAAACAACAGTCTTTTTCCTTCATAGCTTGTTCTCCATCTTCTTTTTAAATAGGGAGCCAATTAGTTTTCAGCAGTTTTATTTCCATGACTGATCAAAACATGTTTTATCATGGCTGTCTCTGCCCTTCTGCAGCAGACATATGGGGAGCAATATGTTTGGAGCATCAAATCGCAATAAAATCACATTATCAAATTACAATCCATATAGAATTGTAAGAATCACAATACATATCGTAACGGCACATAAGTATCGTGATAATATTGTATCGTGAGGTCCATGACAATTTCCAGGCCTAATATTTAACCATTGGCAGTTAACTGAAGGTCTTTATTGCAGCCTGTAATTGCCTAATGAAATCAATTATCTGTGTGAAAGAAGATCACTAATAGGCCCGTATTAAAGACAGCCTAACAAGACTGTTGACACATTGTAAATAAATGATTGGCATCATGAGAGCACTGCCGCTATGAGACATAATCCTCACATTTGGCTTCCTCATTGCATTCTGATAGAAGCCCCATGGTGGCAGTACTCCCTGAACTAGTCTACAGTCCATCTTTCACTATATGCTCTTTTGAGGTGGATGGTTGAGTTGGCTTGACTAGGTTTATTGTAGCTTGGTTAACTGTTGCACACCCAAGTCCTCTTTACTGTAGTCTTTCTTCCAAAATGTTCACTGGCAGGCAGAGGCACGGCCAGCCACCACGATTATAGTCAGCCTGATGGATGGCATTGAGAAGGATTAATCGACTTCTCCGGAACCCTCAGTTATCTGATCCCAGCTCCGTTCCTCCCTTTCGCTGTTCCTTTGAAAGACCCACATTATATCATCGCTGGTAAATAAAATGTAATCTATTTATGAATGGGAAATTAACACAAGATTAGACCCTGTTGCTAGTTGTGCTTGGACAAAACGTTAACGCATGAAATTTGTACTTGAGTGGTTACAGCGGTGGGTTTATTACACATGTATATTTTTTGTATTGGCACTAACCAGCAGTTAATGTTTCGCTGGATAAACGGGATGTTGGGTAAACATGGTACAGTATCAGTCTCCTTGGAATGCTAAAATGTAACTGAAATAGACAAAGTTCCTACATGATACTGGAATAGAGACAGAGTTCTAACATGATACTGGAATAGAGACAGAGTTCTAACATGGAACTGGAATAGAGACAGAGTTCTAACATGGAACTGGAATAGAGACAGAGTTCTAACATGGAACTGGAATAGAGACAGAGTTCTAACATGGAACTGGAATAGAGACAGAGTTCTAACATGGAACTGGAATAGAGACAGAGTTCTAACATGGAACTGGAATAGAGACAGAGTTCTAACATGGAACTGGAATAGAGACAGAGTTCTAACATGGAACTGGAATAGAGACAGAGTTCTAACATGGAACTGGAATAGAGACAGAGTTCTAACATGGAACTGGAATAGAGACAGAGTTCTAACATGGAACTGGAATAGAGACAGAGTTCTAACATGGAACTGGAATAGAGACAGAGTTCTAACATGGAACTGGAATAGAGACAGAGTTCTAACATGGAACTGGAATAGAGACAGAGTTCTAACATGGAACTGGAATAGAGACAGAGTTCTAACATGGAACTGGAATAGAGACAGAGTTCTAACATGGAACTGGAATAGAGACAGAGTTCTAACATGGAACTGGAATAGAGACAGAGTTCTAACATGGAACTGGAATAGAGACAGAGTTCTAAACATGGAACATGGAATTAGGAGAAAGAGTTCTAACATGGAACTGGAATAGAGACAGAGTTCTAACATGGAACTGGAATAGAGACAGAGTTCTAACATGGAACTGGAATAGAGACAGAGTTCTAACATGGAACTGGAATAGAGACAGAGTTCTAACATGGAACTGGAATAGAGACAGAGTTCTAACATGGAACTGGAATAGAGACAGAGTTCTAACATGGAACTGGAATAGAGACAGAGTTCTAACATGGAACTGGAATAGAGACAGAGTTCTAACATGGAACTGGAATAGAGACAGAGTTCTAACATGGAACTGGAATAGAGACAGAGTTCTAACATGGAACTGGAATAGAGACAGAGTTCTAACATGGAACTGGAATAGAGACAGAGTTCTAACATGGAACTGGAATAGAGACAGAGTTCTAACATGGAACTGGAATAGAGACAGAGTTCTAACATGGAACTGGAATAGAGACAGAGTTCTAACATGGAACTGGAATAGAGACAGAGTTCTAACATGGAACTGGAATAGAGACAGAGTTCTAACATGGAACTGGAATAGAGACAGAGTTCTAACATGGAACTGGAATAGAGACAGAGTTCTAACATGGAACTGGAATAGAGACAGAGTTCTAACATGGAACTGGAATAGAGACAGAGTTCTAACATGGAACTGGAATAGGTCATTATCAATAAAATGTCACAATGAGGTACAGAGTGTTCAATTTGCCTGCTGGAGACCCGCAACTCTGCTAAATCCATTGATAACTGTGTGCTGTTTTCAAGGGATTGCTAAATAAATGTTCAGAACTACACATTTCCGATTATTCCATGCAAAACAATTGCGCACATTTAGCTCTATCATCAGAGTTATGGGCCTACAGCTTTTCATGATCATTAAACATCAATTGATCATGTAGTTTCAGATACGTGAGGGTAGCCTCATGATATCTCTCAATATTGGCCACCATTAATTTGATATTTTAGTGATTTAAAATAAAAGTGAAGTATCCCTGACAAGTATGAGTGGTTTAGGTTAATTTATTATCCTTTGTGGGGTCTGCCTGTCAAGCAGCAGAAGGGCGCATTTGCCAATGTAACATTACTGTTGGCTGGAAATGTTTACTTTGCAACCTACCGGTAGACACTTTGTACAGTTGGCTAAACATAGTGGTAATTACTTTTTTTTAATACTTTTTTTTGCTAGTGAAGTTAGCTAACATTATCCCCTTTTCAACATAGTTTTTAAATAGTGTTGAATAATGTCAAATTGGCTAGCTAGCTAATAACAGATCATGTCAATAAGTCTAGTTAACAAGCTTACTTTCAGGAGGTAAACTAGATGGCTATATCAAAATACTGTTTGATTTGCTTGCCATCTATAGTGATGATGACAGTAGTCCGACTGACGACTTTACCAGGACAATGTCAAGCTCTTTCCAAAAACCTAATGTCTGATGAAGCAAGCTAAATCACACATGTTGTTTGCTTTAGCTAGCTAGCTCGCTACATGCCAAATGCCTGGATCTGGCTAACCTCACATATCTGAAAATACATGATCAATTGATGTCTATTGATTGCTATAGAACTCTGATAGAACTAAATGTGGAATAATCAGAAATGTGTAGTTCTGACTACGCTCTTCAAGAGGTGATGATATTAAAACCAAATAGTTATTCCATTTATTTAAGAATCCCTTGAAAACAGCACATGGTTGTCAATGGTTTCCTTGCCCCACAGCTGGCAAATCTAACGCTATTGTGACATTTTATTGATAACGGCCTATAGAGACAGAGTTCTAACATGGAACTGGAATAGAGACAGAGTTCTAACATGGAACTGGAATAGAGACAGAGTTCTAACATGGAACTGGAATAGAGACAGAGTTCTAACATGGAACTGGAATAGAGACAGAGTTCTAACATGGAACTGGAATAGAGACAGAGTTCTAACATGGAACTGGAATAGAGACAGAGTTCTAACATGGAACTGGAATAGAGACAGAGTTCTAACATGGAACTGGAATAGAGACAGAGTTCTAACATGGAACTGGAATAGAGACAGAGTTCTAACATGGAACTGGAATAGAGACAGAGTTCTAACATGGAACTGGAATAGAGACAGAGTTCTAACATGGAACTGGAATAGAGACAGAGTTCTAACATGGAACTGGAATAGAGACAGAGTTCTAACATGGAACTGGAATATAGACAGAGTTCTAACATGGAACTGGAATAGAGACAGAGTTCTAACATGGAACTGGAATAGAGACAGAGTTCTAACATGGAACTGGAATAGAGACAGAGTTCTAACATGGAACTGGAATAGAGACAGAGTTCTAACATGGAACTGGAATAGAGACAGAGTTCTAACATGGAACTGGAATAGAGACAGAGTTCTAACATGGAACTGGAATAGAGACAGAGTTCTAACATGGAACTGGAATAGAGACAGAGTTCTAACATGGAACTGGAATAGAGACAGAGTTCTAACATGGAACTGGAATAGAGACAGAGTTCTAACATGGAACTGGAATAGAGACAGAGTTCTAACATGGAACTGGAATAGAGACAGAGTTCTAACATGGAACTGGAATAGAGACAGAGTCAGTTCTAACATGGAACTGGAATATAGACAGAGTTCTAACATGGAACTGGAATAGAGACAGAGTTCTAACATGGAACTGGAATAGAGACAGAGTTCTAACATGGAACTGGAATAGAGACAGAGTTCTAACATGGAACTGGAATAGAGACAGAGTTCTAACATGGAACTGGAATAGAGACAGAGTTCTAACATGGAACTGGAATAGAGACAGAGTTCTAACATGGAACTGGAATAGAGACAGACATGGCCGCGGGAAGATATTTTGGTTTGGGGGAGTATTTTTCTCTGCTCATTCAGGAGTTATTTTATTTAATTTTTATTTCACATTTATTTAACCAGGTAAGCCAGTTGAGAACAAGTTCTCATTTACAACTGCGACCTGGCCAAGATAAAGCAAAGCAGTGCGATAAAAACAACAACAACACAGAGTTACATATGGGGTAAAACAAAACATAAAGTCAATAACACAATAGAACATCTGGGATGATAGATGTGCAGAAGATGATGTGCAAATAGAGATACTGGGGTGCACATGATGGGCTGTGTACAGGTGCAGTGATCGGTAAGCTGCTCTGACAACTGATGCTTAAAGTTAGTGAGGGAGATAAGAGTCTCCAGCTTCAGAGATTTTTGCAGTTTGTTCCAGTCATTAGCAGCAGAGAACTGGAAGGAATGGCGGCCAAAGGAGGTGTTGGCTTTGGGGATGACCAGTGAGATATACCTGCTGGAGCGCATACTACGGGTGGGTGTTGCTATGGTGACCAATGAGCTAAGATAAGGTGGGGATTTGCTTAGCAGTGATTTATAGATGACCTGGAGCCAGTGGGATTGGCGACGAATATGTAGTGAGGTCCAGCCAACGAGAGCGTACAGGTCACAATGGTGGGTAGTATATGGGTCTTTGGTGACAAAACGGATGGCACTGTGATAGACTACATCTAATTTGCTGAGTAGAGTGTTGGAGGCTATTTTGTAAATGATATCGCCGAAGTCAAGGATCGGTAGGATAGTCAGTTTTACGAGGGCATGTTTGGCAGCATGAGTGAGGAGGCTTTGTTGTTCTAGATTTAACTTTGGATTGGAGATGCTTAATGTGAGTCTGGAAGGAGAGTTTACGGTCTAACCAGACACCTAGGTATTTGTAGTTGTCCACATATTCTAAGTCAGACCCGCCGAGAGTAGTGATTCTAGTCGGGCAGGTGGGTGCAAGCAGCGTTCGATTGAAGAACATGCATTTAGGTTTACTAGCATTTAAGAGCATTTGGAGGCTAGGAGTGTTGTATGGCATTAAAGCTCGTTTGGAGGTTTGTTAACACAGTGTCCAATGAAGGGCCAGATGTATACAAAATGGTGTCGTCTGCATAGAGGTGGATCACCAGCAGCAAGAGCGACATCATTGATATACACAGAGAAAAGAGTCGGCCCAATAATTGAACCCTGTGGCACCCCCATAGAGACTGCCAGAGGTCCAGACAACAGGCCCTCCGATTTGACACATTGAACTCTATCTGAGAAGTAGTTGGTGAACCAGGCGAGGCAGTCATTTGAGAAACCAAGGCTATTTAGTCTGCCAATAAGAATGTGGTGATTGACAGAGTCGAAAGCCTTGGCCAGGTCGATGAAGACAGCTGCACAGTACTGTCTTTTATCGATCCTTGATCATTTGTGTGAGATTGAGGGCATCTAGTTTAGATTGTAGGACGGCCGGGGTGTTAAGCATATCCCAGTTTAGGTCACCAAGCAGTACGAACTCTGAGGATAGATGGGTGGCAATCAATTCACATATGGTGTCCAGGGCACAGCTGGGGGCTGAGGGGGGTCTGTAGCAAGCGGCAACAGTGATATACTTATTTCTGGAGAGGTGGATTTTTAGAAGTAGAAGCTCAAACTGTTTGGGCACAGACCTGGATAGTATGAAAAAGCTCTGCAGGCTATCTCTACAGTAGATTGCAACTTCGCCCCCTTTGGCAGTTCTATCTAGACGGAAAATGTTGTAGTTGGGGATGGAAATGTCAGAGTTTTTGGTGGTCTTCCTAAGCCAGGATTCAGATACTGCTAGAACATCAGTGTTGGCGGAGTGTGCTAACGCACTGAATAACTCAAACTTAGGGAGGAGGCTTCTGATGTTAACATGCAAAAAACCAAGGCTTTTACGGTTACAGAAGTCAACAAATGATAGTGCCTGGGGAGTAGGAGTGATACTGGGGGCTACATGGCCTGGGTTAACCTCTACATCACCAGAGGAACAGAGGAGGACTAGAATAAGGATACGGCTAAAGGCTTTAAGAACTGGTCTTCTAGTGCGTTGGGTACAGAGAAAAAAAGGGGCAGATTTCCGGGCGTTGTAGAATAGATTCAGGGCATTATGTACAGAGAAGGATATGGAAGGATATGAGTACAGTGGAGGTAAACCTAAGCGTTGGGTAACAATGAAAGAGATAACATCACTGGAGGCACCGATTGAGCCGGTCTCCACGTGTATGGGGGGTGGGACAAAAGAGCTCTCTGAGGCTGGTTGAGCGGGACTGGGGGCTCTACAGTGAAATTGAATATTAAGAACTAACCGGAACAGCAATAGGCAAGGCATATTGACATGGGAGAGAGGCATAAAGCAATCACAGATGTTATTCGAGAGAGCTAAGACAACAACTGGTAATGGCGCCGAAAGTTTGGGCTGAGGCTAAACAGATAAACAGAACAGATAAACAGGATGGGGGTACCGTGTAAAGGAACAGTCCAGCAGGCATCAACTGTGCAGCTGAGTGATCGTAAGGTCCAGTGAACAGCAATAGGTGAGACCAGGAGCAGTTCGAATGGCTGCTACAGCACAGGCGAGCAGGAAGCACGGCTGTTGATTGCGTGTGCTAGCGGGCCGGGGCTAGCAGATGGCTCTTTGTGGTCGTCACCAACATTCTTTCCCATTGTTAAAGAGCCAACTTCATGTTGATTTTTTGTTATACGGAAATAACAGGAGAGAGGAAAAGCTGCT